AGGATAGATTTTTTTTATTTCTTCAAGAAACATGACTGGGACTTTTACAGGGATTGTATTGAATCTGTACATTACTTTGGATAGTACTGATATATTTTTTTCTTTTTCTTTTTTTGAGAGATTTTTGCTATAGGGCACTTGTACTGGCCAGAGGGACAGAGAGACAGAAAGCAAGAAATCCTTCCTCAGAGGGGAAATGGCCATAGTGCAATCCCTTCTCCTCCATTCCCCTCTCGGGATTTTGGGCATACACGCACACATGCCCAGCATGAGTTTCAAGCCACCAGGTCTGGAACTCAAACTGCAGTCAACCACATGGGAGTCCAGTGCATAAACCACTATGCAACCTACTGGCTCCAGTATTGATATCTTAAATTAAATAATATTTAATGACATCAGATGGCTTTCTATTTATTTCATTTCTTTTGGCAACATTTTGTAGTTTTCAATGTATGTTTTTTTAAAAGAATTATTTATTTTGATATTATTATTTATTATTATTTGACTGGAGAGAGAAGAGAGAGAGAAAAAGGGAAAGTGAGAAAGCAAGTCACTGGGTCTGGGACTTGAACCGTGTTAGGCCACGTGGGGGTCCAGCATCTTAACCACCACCTGCCAGTCCCCCAATGTATGTTTTTTAGCTCCTTGGTTAAGTTTGTTCTTAAGTATTTTATTAAGCATTTTATTCTTTATGATGCTGTTACAGTGAGATTTTCTTAATTTTCTTTTTATATTGTTCATTGTTAGTATATAGAAATGAAATTGATTTTAAAAATTTTATTTATTTATTTATTGGAGAGGTTTTTTGCTATAGGGTGTGTGTGCTCGCCAGAAAGAGAGAGACAGAGAAATAGAAAGTGAGAAATCACCCCCCAGGGGGGATGGCCACACCACAATCCCTTCTCCGTTCTCCTCTTGGGATCTTGGGCACACACACACACACACCCGGCGTGAGTTTAAGCCACTGGGTCCTGGACTCAAACCGCGGTTGGCTATATGGGAGTTCAGTGACATAGCCATTACATTAACTGCTGGTCCCTTAAAATTTATTTTAACTAAAAACTAAAATTGCATATATGGTGTATAACATATTTTGGCATGTGCATATATTTATATATGTAGTGACATGGGTAAATCAAGTCAATTAAAATATGTATTATTTCACATACTAATAATTTCTATTTCAACAGTCAGTCTCATTTAATTAATCTCTCTTTTGTTGAATTTACAGTGTTACTATGGTCTAATCTTTCTGTTTAAATCCTGGATGTTAACATTCAACATTATTACTGATATTTCTGGACTTGTCTGTACCATCAAGTTGGCCATCTTTCTGGTCATTTTTTGTTCTCTTATTTCTGTCTGTCTGTCTTTGGTTTTCCTGGCATAGCACTCCTTTCAGAGCTTCTCAAAAAGCTGGTATGGTGTTGGTGAATTCTTTCAGGTTTTGTTTCTCTGAGAACGTTTTGAGTTTTTCTTCCCATATGAAGGATAATCTTACTGGATATAGTATTCTTGGTTGAAATTGTTTATCATTTAACAAGTTGAATATATTTTTCCATTCTTTCCATGCTTGCATTGTTTCACGAGAGGTCCAATGTTAGCCTGATGGGATATCCTTTGAAACTAAGTTGATGTTTCCCTCTTGCCAGTTTTAGTATCTTGTCTCTGGCTGTGGTTTTGGTCAATATGGCTATGATGAGCCTTGGAGAAGATCTTGGGTTGATTCTATGTGGGGTCCTTTGTATTTCTTGGGTCTGGATATGTGAATGCCTCTCAAGGTTTGGAAAGTTTTCTTCCAGGATTTCATGGAATAGATTATCAATGCCCTTATTAGTTTCTTCACATTCTGGAATACCAATTATCCAGATGTTTGGGCATCTAATGGTATCTAGTACTATTCATATATTAATCTCATTTTTTGGTGTTATTTTCTCAGTCTTTTTGGTGAATTTTTCTAGGTCAGAGGTTCTGTCTCCTATATCTGAGATTTGATCTTCTTCATGATCTAATCTGCTCTTAGTACTTTCAAGGGAGGTTTTGAGTTCCTGTATTACAACCTTCATCTCTTACAATTCCGTTTGATTCTTTTTTATGGTTTGTATTTCTTCTGAGATGGTGCAAGACCTCCCTTACTTCCTAGTGTTTGTCTCTTTTCTCCTGCATCTTCTGGAGTTTGTTGTCTCTCTTCACATGCATCTCTGTTAGCTTTGTCACTATGAATATTCAAAATTCTTTATCTGACATTTCCATGAGTTCCATTGTACTGTCTGTGGATGAAGAGGGGGCTGTTCTTTTCCCTTGGGGGAGAGATATTTTCTTGGTTTCTTATATTTCTTGTGCCTCTGAGGTGGTTTTTGTTCATCTTATAGATTATACATTTCTTCCTACTTTCTTGGATTTAATTCTGAGCATTAGAGGTGTGCAGGAAGAGATATTCCACAATATCTTTGTAGTTCTGTTTTCCTGATCCTCACCAAGCAAACTGCACTTTTGTCATGGGACATTTTTCTACTGCCAGGTACTCCTATGCCAATTTCTCCTTTACTATTGTGCTTTGCAACATAGTATCCACAGAAAGAGATTTGAATTTAGATTTGTGAAGATGAGTTTCTCCCTTTCTATAGTAGTTCAGTGGAGGTTTGGAGTCATAGAAAACTATGACTCCAAATGTATTCAGATATTTCACTACTGTGCATCTAGGCCTGTCTAGACACTCAATTTGTGGAAACTCACTAGCATTGGGATGGAAGGAGAGGTTGGAGCAGAGACAATTCAGTTAAAGGAACAGGACAGGGCCTACTTCAGATATACATGGATTCTCATTAGGTGTTAGGCTGCAAGATAGGAGCTTGATCTTTTAACTGACAAGCCATGAGCTTTTGTGGTTTCCTTTACTTTCTTCTTATGCAAACACCAAATTCTGTTCAAAGCTCCCCTATTAAGTTTCTCTGAACTCCTTCAGTGGATTTATATACATTCACATAGAAGGTGGCTATGATACACTGAGTTACTCACTTTGCTCTTTTCACCTCATAATATCTCGGAGATAAACAGAACCACTTTATATTTTATAATATTGAAGACAGTATCCTATTATATGACTGACTATGGCTTATTTAACTAGTCTTAGTGAGAATGATGTTTTTCTGATATTTTGCTAGTACAGCAACACTGCAATAAATATTCTTATACCTACATCATTTCCTGCATATCTGAAAATGTCTTTGGGCTAAACACCTTAAAAGCTGAGTTGCTGTGTTAAAGGGCATATTCCTTATACATTTTGACAGAAGTTGCCTGGTACCCTATATAGTGTTTGTAAATTTATATTCTCACCAGTTAAATGTGAAAAAACTCATTTCACCATCTTCAACTATGAAATGTCTTGATCTTTGTCAATCTGATAGGCTAAAAATGATAAACATCATAAGCTTATTCTGCTTTTATTTTTGTAAGAATGAGTTAGTGTTTTTATTTTACATGTGTAGAAAAGACTTTATGGTTATGATCATGACTGAGCAGCTTGTAGTAAACCAAAAATAACATCCATCAAAAGTAACTATAAAATCTGGGAACCAGCAGTTAGTGTCCTGGACCCGGTGGCTTAAAACTCATGCCGGGCATGTGTGCGTACGTGCCAAAGATCCCGAGAGGAGAACGGAGGAGAAGGGATTGCGGTGTGACCATCCCTCCTGGGGGGTGATTTCTCGCTTTCTGTCTCTCTGTCTCTCTCTGTCTTTCTGGTGAGCGCACGCACCCTATAGCGAAAATCTCTCCAAAAAGAAAAAAGTAACTATAAAATCTGGACAAAATACAGGCAAAAACAATTGAAAGGCTGGAGAGCAATTGCCATGGGCAAGACTTCACTGACTACAATTCCAGAATGAAAGGAACAAGGAGGTAAATTTCACATTTACCATATGTTTTCCTTGAGGACATTTAACAATTTCCTGGATAGGAGGGTACGAGAATGTGGAGGCATGCAGGGAAGAACGGGGAAGAGCAGAATAGCCTGACCAGAAAGCAGTACTTCGATTGAACTGAGGAGGTAGAGAATTGGTCTATAGCTGCTAAAGCAGTTGGTATTAGAAATATAAATCCTGGAGGGAGGAGGACACCACTGAGGCTCAAAACATGATGCACTCTCCCTTGAAAGCATATCTAGATTTCTAAGCTGCTCATGTACAAGATGAGACTTCAAGAAATCTAGCAAAAGCAGAAGCTGGGAGTCTAAAGAGCTGAGCTGAATTTTTAAGAGTACAGGAACAGGAAGTGAGGACGTGCAAAGTTGAGGGTCCTTGTAAACAGTCCAGGTTTATAGTGAGGTTCTCAAAAAAGATCATGTTCCTGAAGTAAGACCAAAATCCAGCATAGACCTTTTGTTAGGTTTGCTCTAGGGCAAGTTTGCTGGCTGGAGACAAACAGAAAGGGAGGAAAAATGAGAAATCATCCCCCTCCCCCAGGGAGGAAAAATGAGAAATCAACCCCCCCTCCCCAGGCGCTGGCCACATCACAATCCTTTTTTCTTCATTTTTCTCTCAAGATTTTAGGCATGCACCCACATGTACCTGGTGTATTTAACAAAATGCTGCTCCGGGACTTGAACTGTGCAGTGGGATCCAGCCACCTTAGCCACCACACAACCTGCATGCTCAAGAATAGACCATTTTAAAGAACATCTCTACAAATTTTAAATAATTATCTATTTATTTGTTGTGATTTTAATTTCTTATTTTATTTACATAACACCTTCACAAAATTTAAAATGCACTGTGTAGCATTTATTAAAGAAATCAAGGCTTTCTAAGGAATAAGACGAAATGTCAAGTAGAGGATATGTCAAGAGAAAATGTAAACAGAAATGTATTCGTAGGTATTACAGTTTTCAGTCAATATTAATGAACAATTATCTGAATATAACCAGTTTTTTTTTTTTTTGCCTAAAAAATAGTTAAAGACAAGTTTAGTTGTTCAAAGTTCTTTTCAATGAATACTTTTTATATTCCCAGAATTTTCTGCAGAGCTGTTTTCATATCCTTGTTCCTCAGGCTGTATATCACAGGGTTAAGGAATGGGGTCACAACAGAATAAAACAGAGTCACAATTTTCTGCATTCCAGCTTCATGCTCAGATGTTGGGCTCCCATACATGACCAGTACTGAGCCGTAGAACAGTGAAACCACAGCCAGGTGTGACCCACAGGTGGAAAAAGCCTTTTTTCTCCCTGCTGCTGAAGGAATCTTCAGTACAGCTCTCAAGACCAGTGCGTAGGACCCCATGATGAAGAGAAAGGGAAAAATGAGAGGAAGAAGACTTAAGGTGGAGAAGACAAGCTCTATCACAGGAGCCTTTTTGCAAATGAGTGCTAGAAGAGGACCAGGGTCACATAAGAAGTGGTCAATGATTCTGTCTCCACAGAATGACATTTGGGAGACAATGATGATGGGAATCAAGAACCAGAGGAAACCAAATACCCAGCAATTGACCACGAGTTTGGTGCAGAGTCGTGTGGTCATAATGGTTGGATAGTGTAGAGGGCGACAGATGGCAAGGAACCGATCGAATGCCATAACCGCTAGGAAAAAGCACTCTGTAGAACCCAAGGAGAAAAAGAAATAGAACTGGAGAAAGCACCCAGAGAAGGAGATGACCTTGGTATCAGAGAGGAGGTTGACCAACATGTTGGGGACTGTGGAGGTGACATACCAGATTTCTAGGAAGGAGAAGTTGGCGAGCAGGATGTACATGGGTGTGTGGAGTCTCTGATCCCAGCGTACAGCACAGATGATGCAACCATTGCCCATGAGGGTGAGAAGGTAGATGACAGAGAAGAGCACAAACAGCAAGATCTGCCCCTCTTTGGGGCAAGGGAAACCCAGGAGGATGAAGGAGATGGTGCTGGAGTTGCTGGGGGTGTTGATTTTCATGTGTGGTGAGCTGTAAAAATACCAGCAATTACTGAGTAACAGGGTAAAGACAGACAGGGACTCAGATTTATATTTAAGTCCTCTTGGGAAAGAAAATATATATATGTATCAACAGTTATTTTTTCATTAAAACTGAAATATTGACTTTGGTTGATAATTTTCTCTCCTATTCTAATTTTTACTGTGGGCTAGATAAAGCTTTTAGTTGGAATTAATGAGCTCTGATTTATGATCTATTAAGTGTAAACTGTAACATACTTTCAAGCATGTTTACCACATTCACCTTCAAGAGCTTCCCCTGTGTATACACACTCACACATGTAGTAGAATAAATATATAATATAAATGTTATATATGTATGTATATATAAATATATACACATATATACATATACATATGCTTTTTCCTAATAAATGAACTTCCTCCACTTTCTGAATGGGTGAAATAATTGCAGCTGTTTGTGGCAGAGCCCAAGTCAAATTATGTAGCCATGCGATATGAATGTAAAGATTTTTAAAAGTTATTTAAGTTTTAAGTCCTTAAGTTATTCAAAGACCAGCAGTTGGCATAATGGCTATGTTGCTGGACTCTCATGTGGTCAGCTGTGGTTTGAGTCCCGGACCCAGTGGCTTAAACTCATGCCAGGCATGTGTGCGTGCGTGCCCAAGATCACGAGAGGAGAATGGAGGAGAAGGGATTGTGGCATGGCCATCCTCCTGGGAGGATGGGTGGGTGGGTGGAGGTGAATTCTCACTTTCTGTCTTTCTGGAGAGAACACGTGCCCTATAGCAAAATCCTCTCCAAAAAACAAAAACAAAAACAAAATAAAATAACAAACAAAAAAATTATTTAAGTTTTGACAACAGCCTTATTTCAAATTAAATAGTTAACACTAGTTTAATACTATTTCCCACCAATTCACAAGTAAAACAGTCAAATCAACTAGAAGAAATTAGCTGGAGTTTATTTCTCTTTAGTTAAAACAGCAGTCTTAGCCATTCACAGTAGACCAGGCCAATGGACAGATGTATCAACTAGTATGTTCAGATTCAGCATTGTCAAAGAAGACATGTGAATTTGCCTAGAGTGAAGTTATAAGTACAATTTTATTTCAATTATACAAACTATGATATTAGTAGTTGATTTATAGGTGGTTGTTAGGCTAAAACTTTGGATCATCTTCCACAAACTGCTTAGGAGCATCTCAAGGCAGAGAGGCTGAGTAGCTGTGTAAAGTCTTCCCTTAGTCCTAAATGAGTTAGAATACTTTTGGTAAACACTCATGCTCTCAGCCCCATACCTTTGGTTGTAGAAGTAGGAGAGAGGTGGGGATGGAGATTCTAGGTTCAGTAATGCAACGACAATGCCTAGTGGCTCTAGTGGAGTTTTTAAACCTCTAGAACCTTCATTTTCTTTGTATGATGAGAAAATTGAATTATTTTAAATTTTTGGATTTTGGGGACACACACACACACACACACGTACACACACACACACACACACACACACACGCCCAGAGTTGAGTTTTAAGCCTCTTGGTTTGGAACTTGAACCCGGGTCAAATACTTTGGAGTTCAGCAATGTAATCATTATGCCATCTGCTGGTCCCCTTAACAAAAGCATATTATTATTCACCAAAAAGTGGCAGTGGTGGCTGTGCTGTTTACCTGAAACTAGGTTAAGCTGGAGCTGTCAAAGAGGTGGACATATTCCTCTGAACTGGCTGCAGAAGGAAATATGCATTTTGGTATGATGGTTATAAAGCTCTGCTTACGTAGGTAAGATACTTGGACTGACCTAATTCACACTCCAAACAAAAATCCCCAACATCTTCACCCCGCTTCCATCTCAGAAAGGCTGGGAGAGATCTAGTTCACATCAGCCAGATCTCATGTTGTAATATACAAGATGAGAGAAGCATATTTAATTTATCTGATATTTTACCTTTTTTCTTTAGTCCAAGAAGGCACAACAGTGTGGAAGCAATATGGGTCTGATCTCAATAGAACGTCCATCTGCTTCTTTTATCCAGACAGGTGATTGTCTCAATTTTACCATTTTGGCAATACCCTTGAAAATAACAACCTTTCCATTTATAAGAAGTGGTGGGCAGCTAAGGCACAGTGCAAAAGCAACAGATTTGTAGTGAGGAAACGGGCTTGAAATTTAACTCTCAATTTACCATTTGTGGAAAGTTTGTTGATTCAATTATATAAGCTACTTCCCAGCTCTTTCAACTATAGAACGGATACAGAAACACTCAATCTAAACAGTTGAGATCTCTGCCTAAGACGACATATGTGGAAGTACTCTGTTCAGGATTTGACACATGTGTCTAGGAATTACTGGCTATATAATTCATAATATTAATAATATACAACAAAACAAAAGAAACTTTATTTATAGGTACTTATTTTTATGGCTCTCTTATATTTACCTTTTCCTCTAAGCTTTAGATGATCACCTTTCATGGACAAACAGGAGATTCAAAACTGAAGTTTCTCTGACAGTGTCTGGTCTTCCTGGAGAGGATGGGGTATCTTCCACAATAACCTTCAAGGAGTGAAGGAGTGGAAATATGGGGAAGATCTGTCAGTGTTTGTTGGAGGATGGAGGATGGAGGGATTATAAGCAGAATCTCTAGGGAGGGAGCCCTGTTCCTCTGAAGATCAATTTCAAATCTCTAGAAGGAGAACAGTGTCAGGAGACTGCTCTGTGCTTTCCCTTGGGATCTGCCTTCATTCTCTGGGGACCCTAAGTTCCTTCTATTTTTTGTTTTCCAGTAGAGAAGAAAATATGATCTATTCTGGGTCCAAACTTCAAGGGTGATGTGAGATGTAGTCAGTCTCCAAGCCCACTCAGAGTGCCTACCAGATGTCCAAGGCAAAGTCTATAGAACAACCAGGTGTGGTGGCTGTGGTGCAGGAAGCTGTTTACTTGCTCCACTGGGTCTGTACTGAGTGGTGTCAGCTATGGGCTTTGGGGATGGAGCTGCCTCTGATTTTCCAGAAAGAAGAGATGGGATAGAGGTTTTAGGAGACTTCAGGCATACAGTACTTTGCATTTACAGCAGCAGTCAATCTCCTCCTGGGCCCATCATGGTGTTCTTATAGATAATTTTTCTCATTTGACATTAGGGCCTGAGAATCTGAGCAGCTGCCTCCCAGGACACACTTCCTAGGTCCAAGGTAAACCAGATCAGGACATAAGTTTCCTTTCAGCAGTTGTATCTGGGAGTTGGGGACTAAGGTTTCTTCATCAGTGCTGGAGCCATAGGTCTTTAGGCAAAACTCATTAGTTGTCCCTCTATCCCCAGTGATGGAAAACATTTGATCTTAAAGACTTATGAGCTCATTTCAGTTCCTTGTTTGAACAGTTTGATTTTTCCTCTTTTGTCCACAGCATAAATTTAAAATTGGTTGGGCTTGCCTATGGCCTCATGGTAAAGGGAACCGGACCCACATAGCCAACTGTGGTTGAAATCCTGGACCCAGCAGCTTGGAAAACATGCTAGGCATGCGTGCACACATACCTCAGATCCTGATGGGCTAGAAAAATGGAGAAGAAGGGATTGTGGTATGACTATACCCCAGTATGATATGCTTTCTTCATCTTTCTCTCTGGTGAATACATGTGTTCTTTTTTTTTTTCTTTAAATTTATTTATTTTTTACGTTAATTCACTATTCATCATTACAGTATACAAATGAATTTTCCATCCAAAATACACTGTATATTGGCTCAATCAAGCACATCAACATACATGTTATCAGCAAATAATTTTCCATTTCTTATGTCTTGTATACTTCTTATTTTTTGCCATCCTTGATTCCCTATCCCTCACCCTCTGCTATGTCCCACCCTCCTCCCACATTGTCTCCGGTATCCATGGTTGCTTTCTATGCCTTTCCCCACCATTTAATTGATTTGCTAATGAACTTAATTAGTATAAATATTTACAATAGCAAGTGCAGCTGATATATACATATAACAATTAAAAATAAAATTCAAATAAGCAAACAAGGACCCCTGTAATTCTGACCCAACCCTTAATAATAATTCTTCCCTAACCCATAATAATAATTTTACTTTTTCTTTTTTGTTTTTAAAGAATCATTTATTTAATTTCATTTTAAAAATCATTTATTATTCAGTCAGAAAAGTGCTTGCACATCAATGTTTATTGCAGCATTATTCACAATTGCCAAGACATGGAACCAACCTAAATGTCCACAAACTGATGAATGGATTGGAAAAGTGTGGTATATATACTCTATGGAATACTACTCAGCCATAAAAAATAACAAGACCCTGGAATTTGGGGACCAGCAGTTGGCATAATGGCTATGTCGCTGGCCTCCCATATAGCCGACCACAATTTGAGTCCTAGACCCAGTGGCTAAAACTCACACCGGGTGTGTGTGCATGTGTGCCCAAGATCCTGAGGGGAGAATGAAGGAGAAGGGATTTTGGTGTATCCATCCCCCCAGGAGGGTGATTTCTCACTTTCTGTCTGTCTCTCTCTGTCTTTCTGGAGAGTGCACATGCCTTATAGCAAAATTTCTCCAAAAAATAAAAAATAACCATCTCTGCAGAAAGAATAACTAATATGATTTATTTCTAAGCATGAATGTATGTGACTGAGACCTGGCCCAGAGAAGAGGCAAACATGCCTTTTTGGGGGGTGATCAGATATAGGGGTTCCTTTTATTTGACTAGAGAGAGAGACACACAGAGAGAGGGAAACCAAGAAAGGACCTAGCCAGGTATAGGCTTCGAACTGTGGTTGGCTATGTGGGAGTCCAGCACCTAAACCACTATGCAACTTATTGTCCCCACCTTTTTTTCATTTCTTGTGGATATTCTTATGTCATAGTAACATCAAGCTGCTCGGGGACACAATAACAATCAATGTATTTGTTGAGAGAGAAATTTTTTTATATGATGATGATGATAATGATTATTATTTTTTTAAACATTAGATTGCTATAAATCATTTGGCTTATAAAGAGAATTTACCCAACATGAAATACACTTGAGACCAGTCCAGCTGAGCATACTATACACGTTATCATCAACAGGTAATAAACCATTTCTGTGTTCCATGCATGCCCCACATCTCCACTTTTTCTCCTTGATTTCCTTCCCTATACTCTTCTCCTCTTCTACCCTCCTTCCACTCTGTCTCCAGTGTCCATAACCATTTTCACTGCTTTCTGTCCTCCAGTTTTTCAATCCCTACCATAGAGTGTGGACAATTGGTATATATGAAATGGAGGCATACAACGTCTCTCTTTCATAGCCTGGCTTCCTTCACTCAGCAATAAATGTTCCATATTTGATCACTTTCTATCAAATGCCAGGGTCTTGTTTATTTATTTTTTTTTATGACTGCATAGTATTCTATAGAGTATATGTGACACACTTCTCAATCCATTCATCAGTTTGTGGACATTTGAGTTGGTTCCATGTCTTAGCAACCATGAATAAGGATCAATAAACATTGATGTGCGAGTACTTTACTGACTGAATGTTCTCCTGTCCTTTGTATAGATATCCAGGAGTGGATTTGATGGATAATATGGTAGTTCTATTTGTAGGTCTTTGAGGAATCTCCATATTATTTTCCAGAGTGACTGGACCAATTTACATTCCCACCATCAATGTAGGAGAGTTCTCCTTTCACCCCAACCTCACCAAAACTTTCCATTTTTTAAATATTTTAAATATTTTCCATTCTGCAGGGGTTAGGTGGTATCTCACTGTGGTTTTAATTTGCATCTCCCTTATGATGAAGGATGTTGAGCATTTCCTTATATGCTTTTTGGCTGTTCATATGTCCTCTTTAAAGAGATTTTTGCTCAGCTCATTTTCCCATTTTTTTAATTGGGTTAATCATTTGATTCTGTGTAAGCTGCTTGAATTCCCTGTGAATTCTGGGTATGAGTCCCTTATCTGAAGCATAGTTTACAAAAATATTCTATTCTGGGAACCAGCAGTTAGCATAATGGCTATGTCGCTGGACTCCCACGTAGTTGACCGTGGTTCGCGTGCCGGACCTGGTAGCTTAAAACTCATGCCGGGTGCGTGTGCGTGCGTGCCCAAGATCCCGAGAGGAGAATGGAGGAGAAGGGATTGTGGCGTGACCATCCCCCCGGGGGGTGATTTCTCGCTTTGTCTCTCTGCTGTCTGTGTCTGTCGGTCTGGCGAGCGCACACGCCCTATAGCAAAAACCTCTCAAAAAAAAAATTCTATTCTGAGGGTTGTTTATTCACACTAATTACTTTTGCTGTGCAGAAGCTTCTTAATCTGATGTAATCCCCACATGGATCCTGAACTTCAGTTGTGAAATATTGCTTTCAGAGGCTTACATTGAAGATTTTCTGCTGAGACTTCTCCCTCACTTGTTTCTAGTGATTATGCTATTTATTTACCTGTCTCTTTCTCTCCATTTCTCTCTGTCTCTTTGTGTCTTTTAAGTAAAAAAATATATCTATGTATATTTTTGGAGAGACTTTCACTATAGGGCGCGTGGGCTCGCCAGACAGACAGAGAGAGATATAGAGACAGAAAGCGAGAAATCACCCCCCAGGGGGGATGGTCACGCTGCAATCCCTTCTCCTCCATTCTCCTCTTGGGATCTTGGGCACGCACGCACACGCCCGGTGTGAGTTTTAAGCCACCAGGTCTGGGACGCGAACCACAGTTGACTACATGGGAGTCCAGCGACATAGCCATTATGCTAACTGCTGGTTCCCAGTAAAAATATTTTTTTTCAAGTTAAATATTCTGGGCTCTCAAGCCCTTTCTTATTGTTCTAATGGGTGCTTCTCTCCATTCTATTTAGGAAAGGCACAAATCCAGGCCCCTCCCCACATGAATCCTGAATTTCAGCTGTGAAACCGCACTGCACGGTTTCCAATCTTTGTTTTTTAAAATTAAAATTTAAAGTTTCGTAATGATCTTTTTTTCTTACATATATATATTTCTTCTTGTTTCCTTTTTTCTTTACCTTTACTCATTGGCTACTCGGCCTCTATGCACTAAGTGTCTAGACAGGTCCAAGTGAATATGATCTAAACACCTGAATACAATTAGGGTCAGAATATTCTTCTATTCCCTCTGATTCTGATGCACAAAGAGTGAAAACAGAATGGAAGAGAGATTGCAGGTCACCTCCTCCTGCACGCTCCTGAATGCTCAGACTGAACTTCAAGAATTAGGAAGAAATGCAACATCCATCAGATCACTAGAAATCACCACAGGGTCACAAGAAATATGAGAATACAAGAAAATACCTCTTCTCCAAGGAAAAATAATAACTCCTCTTCATCCTCAGACAGTATGATGAAACTTATGGAAATGTCAGATAAAGAATTTAGAATTTT